TACTCCCTTGGTATCTTTATTCATTATAACACTTTTCTCTTTTATTTCAAAAAAAAAAAAGTGCGGAGACATCCATAATATGGACATCTACGTTTTGTACATCACCATTTTGGGCATAAGCTTGTACTTCAGAGGTTAATTATTCTGCTTTATTTTTTCCAGCAAGAGGTTGAAGTTATGAAAGTAAAGCAGGGAGTTGGAAAAAATTCAATTGGGCTGCAAAGTGTCAAAAGCACAAGCAGGTATGTGCCATCTTCATGTTCATTCCTTACCCAAATGTAATCTTCTTATGAGCGTAGATATGTGGATATAACATCCAGAAAATGCAGTATATAGTATTTGGATTAAGCTTGTCTTTAAGTATTTATGTTGGCATACCCTTTGCAAATTTATAACCAGCTTATGCATTTGGCATTAATAGTTGGAGGGATTGCAGTTAACAAGATAAATATATTTTCTTTTCCTTTATGCAGGTATGTTATCCAGGATAAATCTGTCAGAAAAAGGGATGATGATGATGCTGATAAGAATTTAGCCCGCAAGATAATGCAGAACAAACAATATAGTGTGTCTGGTCAGGCAGATGATGAATATGATTATGAAGATGGTCCAAGTAGAATGTCTAGGAAGAAGGGTGGAGGTCAGGGCCACCGTGATGCTGAAAAAGATATTCGTCCAAAGCGTATTTTGACTCAGCAGGAGCGCTGTCAATTTTGTTTTGAGAATCCAAACAGGCCTAAACATCTTGTTGTGTCAATTGCAAATTTCACGTACTTGATGCTGCCACAATGGGAGCCTGTTGTGGCAGGTCATTGTTGCATCTTACCAATGCAGGTAATCTTAATCTCATTAATTTCCATCAGATGTTATATTTTTTCCCTTTTTTTTAAAGACAAGGTGGGGGATGATGCTCAAATCATCAAATTCACAATGAGTGTTATAGCCTGTAAGTTGGGTACTTTTGGTATTTCTATTCTTTTGTGTTTATTTTCTTTTTAGTGCCTTAGTTCATGCTAGATTAAGTTTGTTCGTATTGTAGTATTAGTATCCATAGTTGCTTGGGAAAGATTGCTGGATTTAGCTCCTCTCATCTGTGTGGGAGGATGGGTGTGGGTGTATTTTGACTATCGACAAATTGGTGAGGAGGGAAAAAATTATGGTGAACGGCTGCTTTCTCTGCAAAAAGAAGGCAGAGTCTTGTAATCATATTCTGTTTGGTGCTCTTTCACGTACAAGTTATGGATTATGGTTTATGGGTTATTGAAGATTAGCTGGGTTAATACCTGACTCGGTAAGCAATGAGATCTGGGCCTGGAATGGCATTAATTGTGGGAAGAAACATGTGGGTCTCGTTCCTCTTACTATCTTATGGGTGGCATGGAAAGAGAGAAACAAGAGAGTTTTTGAGGGATGGAAGAAGATTTTGTTAGTGCTAGAGACAGATGGCTCCTAATTCTAGGTTTTTTGGTTTTGGGGTGCCCTATTTATTTTATATAGGTTTTTGGGGATTTTATTGACATACTGACTTGTAAATAATTTAATTTTTGTACATGAGTGGCACCCCCTTGGTGCTTGTGAATCAATGAATTATATTATACTTTTTATTTAAAAAGAAAGTATTAATATTCCAGAAATCATGGTTTGAAGGAAGTTTGGACACTGTAGTGAAAGTGTTAAGAGCCTCAGACATATAGTCTGATTTAGCAAGAAATTAGGTTAGGGTTTAGGATGAAGGACGGAGTGAGAGTGAAGGACTGAGAGAGAACAAAGAAACAGGAGCAAGATTGAGAGAAGAATCAAGAAAATTCCTATATTGACTGCTGATTTGATTATACTTCCTTGGGGATTTTTCCATAATGTCCTTTCTTCCTTACAATTCGACCGTCATTTCTGGGATTCCATATCCCAAACAGAAAAAATACAAAACAAAAATTCGGTGCGAAACAGAAAAATACAGCTGTGAATTAGTTAGTTAACTAATCCCAAAAGGCTGTAACTAACCGAAGATTTAGTGAATTTTTTTAGGCTAGATACTACTAACCTGGGGTCCAGCTTGCCAGGTTACCTGTTTGGGATGAGGATGCCTCTGGTAAACCTTCATTGGCTTTGCAGGTGGTGTTGTGGTTGTTTCTGATAGGTGTTTGACGAGGGAATTTCTGGTCCTTAGATGAGCTGTTAGGGGTTCATCATTGTTTTTAGTAAAACAATCTTATCTCAGGGATTTGTGTGAAAAATGTGAAAGTAGTTTCACTCTGGTAATAAAAACACTGTTTTGTTGAAATCTGAACTTATTTAATTTCTTAGAAGAGGAAAAAAAAAATCTTTTTTTAAGAGAATTTGAAGTATTTCATTTTGTTATATGTTTTCTCATTGTGGGTTCTTTCCTACATTTGGTATTACAGCATGAGGCAGCCACCAGAACTATTGATGATAACATTTGGGATGAAATCCGAAATTTCAAGAAATGCCTTATTATGATGTTTGCTAAACAAGAGAAGGAGGTGGTCTTTCTAGAAACAGTGATGGGATTGGCACAGCAACGTCGTCATTGCTTAATTGAATGTATTCCTTTGCCCCAGGAAATTGCAAAGGAGGCACCTCTATATTTTAAAAAGGTCAGGGTTTTTCAACTTATTCTTTTTAGTTTCTTCATACGGCCATGGCTATCTGTCCTTAAGGTATCTTTTATACAGAAAGTATGTTTTGCATGTAACATACATACACATTGACACACTTAACGAGCTCCTCAAAATCAGAAATAGGGTTGCTAGCAAAATATTATATGAGACTTTGACTTGTGAGGAATGTGCATAATGCAGATCAAATAATTCTGAATCAGTTGATAATAACTTAAAGTTTACTGGTATGGGTACATAGGAAAGAAGAGGTAAGTTATTTAAAATTGGCACTGAATATGACAAGTTGACAAGTCAGAAAGTTGGTATGAGAAGAGTTTCTTTGAAATCCTAACTGTAATGTTCTTAAAGAGTTTGTTTGAATAATTTTGGATCAACAGTTTGATAAATGTGAATTTAAGGCTCATCTTTTTAATTGTATATAATCATTTTTTGACCTGCATGGAGAAACATCAACATTGATTATTAGATTTGAGGTATTTCAGCAGTGAGTAGGCTCTATTATCTTATAAATGCCTCCAATCTCATGATGAATGTTGATGTTTCTCCATTGTCAGTAGGCCCTATTAACCGCGCATAGTCAGGCGGTATTTTAGAATAGTCAATAGGCTCTATTATCGTATAATATTCAAGCATTATCCATGCACATGCCGAGATGGAAGATGCTAATTGTTAAGTTCTTTCTTGCTTTTTTCTCTGGTTCTTCTGGTTGTCACTTTTATATTCTGCATTGCCTTTAATATCTTTTGCAACAAATAAAGTATTTTAATGGTTTTTCTCTGTTAAATACTGGTTTTAACATATAATCCTTTACAGCAGTTGGCACATACTTTAGGAATAGTACTAAAATCCATTATAGACGAAATAGAGTTGTGATTTTAGACTGCATTGAAAGAAATGGAAAAGAATTGCTGGAGTTTACTCTTATTGTAGGTTTTGATTTTGAAGTTTCTGAAAAAGAGGTTTGTTTTAGGCAATTGATGAAGCTGAAGATGAGTGGAGCCAGCATAATGCAAAGAAGCTTATTGATACAAGTCAAAGGGGTTTGCGGCGTTCAATTCCCAAAGATTTTCCATATTTCCATGTTGAGTTTGGTCTAAACAGGGGATTTGTTCATGTAATTGATGACGAGAAGCAGTTCAAAAGCAGCTTTGGTCTCAATGTTATTAGAGGCATGCTAGGCATACGAGAGGAGGACATGTACCGACGTCGGAGGTATGAATCTATGGAGTTACAGAAACAAGCAGTTTCCACTTTTGCTCGTGACTGGGAAGCCTTTGATTGGACAAAGCAACTCGACTAAGGATTCGTTCTCATTATGCACTGTCATCATACTGAAACAGACTTATCTTTTCTGATTTCATCTTTTTTTTTTTCTATTTTTTTTCCTCCTTGAATTCTGGAAGTTCTTTGTATCAAAATACAAAGTGTCAATGGGTAAGTTAGCTGTTGATTAGGTAACTTCTTTTTATGTGTGCTAGTCCCTTCACCCAGGGCTAACATGAGGTTGCCTTTGGTTGAGAATGTAATAATTCCTTCCCATGCTGGTTATTCAAGAGCTTCAAGAATCTTGACTAGTAGCGATTTTGAATTGTAAATATCATGAGATTATAGTTGTGTTATTCCCCTATTTAAATTGAGTTCTAACTTTGTTGTTTTTGCATCTTTTGATAATGTAATTGTTTGTCTTGAGATGGTCTTCTATGTAGTTGACAAGAATGTATAATAGAAAAAAAGAAATTGATAAAATATATGTTTATCATTTTTTATATATGTTTATCAAATATTTATTTTTCATCTTAATTATTTTCAGACTTTATTACTTGTTTTAAAATAATTGCCTTGATTAAAATAATAATGTTCATATTAAGGTAAATAGTTCCTCTTTTCATGGTTGAATCCTGTTCGACTCTGGTGTCTATGTTTGAGAAGTTTTGTTATGTAGGAATTAAGCTCGACCCCTACATGTTAGACATTTTGATGGAATATTTTTGCCAAGATTGTAAATAAAGTATTCCTTGAAGTCCACTCTTATTAAAGACTTGAAGAGCATCAATGCAAAGGTTATGCCTGTGGAGGATGAATTTTTGATTCTCTTCAAAGTCTTTAATAAGAGTAGATCTCAAGGAATACAATTTTATAGGAGAGTTTGTAAGACTCAAGAGACATATTTTACCATGCCATTGGTTGTGAAGATGCCCATTGTGAGACAAATGTTATTCATGTATACTTGAATCATTCGTTCGCTTGCTAGGGTAGATCGGTTAATGGAGGTATGAGTATTTTCTTGAAAAATGATGAGTAAGATTATATGTCTTAATATCGTTTATAATTCTTTAATTAATAGATTTCACCAAGTTAACCAGTTGAAGAAAGTCATAAAACTTTTTAAATAGATAATAATTAAGAATTTTCACAAATAATGTTATTATCAATTTTATAATATATATTTTTTATAAAATAGTAAAAAAATGTTATACATAACACTTCAAATAAATAATAGAAGAAGAAATTTTACTAACACTAATGATATTCACAATTTAATAAATCTATACTGACTCAATTACTATGAACTCATCCATTTGTGGTTCTAATTCAACCGGAGCCATTGGTGTTTGTTATCTTTATATTAATCAATTAAAAGAAAGCATCAATTCATTCATTAAATATCAATGTTACAAACAATTTTATTTAGGATTTTGAGGTCTTAGGAGAAATTCCCATAAGCTTCACATGATTTTATTTCCGTACCTTTTTAGCCAAACTATAATAGTTGCATGTCCCAAAAGAAACAAATTTTAAAAGAAAATCAAGACTGAGTTTGAAATTTAAGAATAAAATTTTGAAGCATAAGGAAGAAGCACAAAAGAAAGATTTGTCAGAAGCTAGTATAATACTCTTAGTTTTATTCGGATAATATATATATATTTTTTTCAAAACTTTGAAAATTTTAAATTAAAAATTCAGTAAAATGATAATATTGTTATAATCATCAAACCCTTTTTGTTAACTCTAAATCCAAAGTGACCTAAAGTAGAAACATAATCCTTATTTGGCCCAAATGTAAGCCAATCTACTAGGCCCATTCGAGCCTTCAGCCATCTAATCATCCATTCAGTATAAAACGGCGTCGTTTCAAGTTCCTCCTTTTCATCTAATCGAAGGGAGAGAAAACAAGAAAAGAAGTCGGAGATACTGCAGCAAAAGCAACATAGAGGAAAGAACGGACGCCGAACAGATCAATAGAGCGCAGTAGAAAACCAGGGAAGCAGAGACGCGTCTAGAGAGAAATCAACAGCGGACTGAGATGCGTCTGGTACGAGGAGACGTCACAGAGACGGAGGAAGAAGACAGAGACTCGGGGGTGGTCTCGTGCAAAGAGGAAGAAGCCCTGCCAATAAGAGGAGACATAAGGAAGAGGAGTTGAGAAGAGATGGTTTCGGGAAGAAGATTGGGCTGAGGCTTTTGGCGGTTTGCAAGAAGAGGACCTGATTTTCTCTCTTCTGTTCTGATTGCCGGGAGGAGAGGAGCGCGAGACAGGGACTAAGCGAGAGCAGATATGACACTAGAGAAACCGAGGCAGAGTAATTAGGAAAATTTTGTCACTTTAAGGTACAAAAAAGGGAATATTTCAAGTCTTATGGGATTGAGGCTGAGGAACCGAGAGGTGAGGCCTATTCGATGAAGAAAAGCTGAAGAAATTGGAGGAGAATTAGAGAGACTGAGAACAGAAGAAACAGGGGAAGAGAAGAGGAAGATATTCTGTGGTTTCTGGGAAGAGAGGCCAATGGAGGGGATTTGGTGATTGGAAAAGCTGACTCTTGTTTTTGTTGACACTCATCGATACAAGGGTAAAATTCATTCCTTTCTCTCCCTCTACTATCCTCGTTTCTATTCGTATTGTTCAGGGAAGTAATTGATTTCTGTGACTAAAGGGCGGGAATGTTTTGAATGTTTAAATGCATGTAATTTTGTGTGATAGAAATGGAAGAATGGTTCGGTTGATATGATTTTCTTCATTCCAAACAGGGTCATGGGTATTACCTGTTTGATAAAATGATCCAACGAAAAATCCTTGCTCCAATTCAATAGCTGTTAATTTATGGAAATTGAACTGCGACTTGCATTCAATTGGATGCCGTTCTGTGTTGCCTGTTTTTCCTTATCACCATACAGGTCGCTCATATTCTTCTTTTAAGATTTTAGGGAGTCAATAATAGAATAAAGTTGTTAGGGTATTCATGAGAAATCTTCTTAAACTTACTTCCTAGTTGAAAGCTGTTGCAGTTGTTTAAAATTACATGTTGAAAGCTGTTGCAGTGTAGAATCATTCTAGGACTGGCTTGGGAGTGTTTATTTGGGAAGGTATTTCCTAAGTGTTGAGTTCGACAAATATTTGATGCATTCATGATAATTAAATTGTTCTTAGTCAAATACTGGGAAAGAAGGATCAATTGACTCGTAAAGTTGAATGGACAACTCAAACCGTCACTTTACCTATATCCTTTTGGTTTAACTTAATTCTTGTAATAGTTTAATTTAATTTGGACAATGAGGTTGCTTTATGTATTTTTCCCTTGGAATCTTCTAGACAAATGGAGTCAGGATCACTCACTTAGTACACAGGCTTTTTTTTTCCCTCTCCATCACTACCTACCCAATATAGAACTTTTTAGATGATATAGAAAAGGTTTGTATGTTTAGGGGCGTAAGTTGAATATCACTAGACCCAACTATCGGTTTAGTTTCTTTCTTGAATTGAATTTCCATAGAAGTCTCCTTAGGTAGTGGAAGATCTTGAATAACTTGAATATCTTTATTCTTAGGAAGAGGCACGACAGAGAGACTTGCACTTGCAAGTGGCACATTCTGCGGTGGAGTTCTGTGGCAGGGCCTCTAGGCTTGCTGATCGGTGCCCTTTGAGAATGATGGTGTCAGCTTTGTTGATCATTTCCCACTAGTGACCGTGATCTAGGGTGGTAACAATATACTGGGTTAGGGTTCTTTTTCTTTCTCTGATGGGTTTGGACCTGTTTGGGCTTAGGGTTTTAAGAATTTGGATATAAGATTTTTTGGACTCAGGAGATGTAGGACAAATAGGGATTTGGGGATAAAAACCTAGATTTCACACCCAAGGCAACAAGATATCATATGTAAGAAGTCTTAGGCATCACGTTTGAGGGTTTTATTATATCACACAACCATAAAATTGAAAAATTCTCAGTTACTTTATTCAATAACTGAATTCTCTCTTAAGAAATGAAACTGCATAGACATTTATAATGCTCCTTAAGTAATCTTTACTAAATAGAATTAAATTAAGAAATACGAGATTTAAAAAGATTGGAAATATTTCTCATAATAAGATAGGAAACTAATACCAACATTCTTAATACAAATTAGAAATATTAAAACAAATAGGAAAACTAAATAATATCAATTAGACCTTGAAGTTACTAAAACTATTTTTTTTTTTTGAAATAAACTACTAAAACTATTGAAGTTACTAAAACTATAATAATAGACTACTAAATAATATAGTAGTTTTACATTTACCATAATTCTAATTCTAATCTATTCAAGAATTCTAAAGCTAGCTTATTCTATATCATTAGATCTTATCAGGATTTTTAACATTGCTTGAAGTAAATTTTCATTCCATTCTGTGGTTTGATGTTTATTTCCAGTTGATTGTGCTTTACTTGATGAGTATTTAGCATGAAAATTGTTGCTTCAATGCTTGACTTCATATCTAGCTTGATATAAAGGAAAAGTTAGAAAGGCAAAGTAGAATGTGATTAAACACGCTTGATCACATCACACACACACACACCATGCCTCGTAAAGACTTAAATTGTTGAGTTTGGAATTTAAATTTGTTGAGTCACTTCGATGTCCTTTTTTTCCTTTTGGTAATGCTTAATTTCATTAACAAAAGATTTCTAGACTAAAAACTAATGAGTGTATGCCACTAGGTGGGTGCCTAACACATTTTGACACAGGATTCTTTTTCAAACCCATTTCTCTAAGTTGACCAGTGCATCTTGTAGTGTCTAATCTCATCCTAAATGAATTAGTAGCGACTCCTTCAATTTTTAATATCTTTTCTGCGGTGTCCCTGCCACTGTGTAAGCCCCATTTTGACAGCTGGCATCCCATGCTCTTGACACTTTTCTCAACCCATACCATATCACATTAACCATTGCCTTATCCCTTCGACAAGCAGCTCTGTACTGTAATATGCAATAATTTTTCAATTGCCAAAAGATTGTAATAGGGTTATGCTGGAAGGAACCTGTAATAAGTTGCTCTGCCTACGTCATTGGTCTTAACAAGGACCTCTGGTGGAGCCTCCAGAAGTGAAAAAAAAAATGCACATCCAAAGTGTTGACTCAGAAATGAAAAAATAATCTTTTACTTTCCTTCACACTGGCCTTAGGCGCTCCTAAATTGTTTCTGTTCAAGAAATCTTAATGAGTGAGAATGTGACAAGAAATCTTACTGACTGGGAGGTCAGTGAATACGAGGAACTCCTAAATTTACATTCACTAGTCAACCTTAACAGATACAATGATTGACCTTTATGGAGACTTAAGGAGAGAGGAGACTTCACAGTGAAATCCTACTACAATCACTTGGTAAGAAATGTTGCTCCAGAATAATTGTTTCCATTCAAGCAGATGTGGAAGACGAATGCCCCTCCAAGAATAGTGTTTTTTGTATGGGAGGCAGGAAAAAAGTGCATTTTGACCATAGACAAACTGATGAGAAGAGGAAGACTATTAGTGAATGGTTGCTATCTATGTAAAAGAGAAGCGAAATCCTGTAACCATATTCTATTGTAGTGTCCAGCTGTGTATAAATTATGGAATATGATCTATGGGTTACTGGGAGTTAGCTGTGTCATTGCAAGTTTGGTTAGAGATGAGATTTGGGCTTGGGAAGGTATTAGCAAGGGGAGGAAAATGTGGGTCTTATTCTCCTTACTATTTTTTGGGTGGTGTGGAAAGAGAGGAACAATGGAGCTTTCGAGGGGTTGGAAGAGGAGTTTGGTAAAATTAGGGACAGATGGCTTAAATATTTGGGATCATTGGTTTTCGTACACCTTTTTTTTATAAGAAAGTGTAGATGTACATTAATTAGGCACCACTCGAGTACAAAGAATTTACAACTCGGTAAGGGTATCTACAATAAGTCCAAAATCATTTAAACTATCAAGATTGTGTCCTAACATAATAGAACCAAAAAGGTGTAACCATTTGTCCTTAATATTAATAAAATTCCTTTCAATATCCTCAAAAATTCTATTGTTTCTTTCTTTCCAAACAATCCAGAATATAGTAAGTAGAATTAGTCGGAAGCACTTGTTCTTGAAAGTGAGATCCTCCCATGCGAGAAGTTCAGCCTTGATGGAGCCAGTTATAACCCAGTGAATACCCATTAGACTGTAGAGATCAATCCACAGACTGTAAGCGGTTGGGCACCATAATTGAAGGTGCCTACAGCTTTCCAAGTTGGATTTCCATAAGGAGCATCTGTTAACCAATTGGAAATCTCTCTTCATGAGACTGTCATAGGTCAAGATGCGTTCTTTTGCAGCCTCCCAAGTGAAGAAGAAGATTCTAGGTAGAGCTTGCAACTTCCATATGATTTTACTAGGAAAAACATACTCATTTCCATTTGAGTTTGTCGTCATTGAGATTCCACCGTATATTAGCAGTAATTTCATATAATTCCATGTATTCCTCAATTTCCCAATCCTGGAGACTATGATTGACAACCACAGCACCCGGAAAAGGAGTGTTCCCCTGAAATAATTCTTCAACTAGGATATCCTTGTTGTGGTCGATAGCAAATATGTGGGGGAAACGGGATTGGAGATTGTTGTTTCCCAGCCAAACATCCTGCCAAAAATGATTTTTGTTGCCTTTACCAATGACCCAAATGGAGCAGTTCTGAATAATGTGATTATGTTGCATGAAACTCTTCCATAGGCTTCTTCCATGGTTGTTCCAGTTTAATATGGTCATGTTATACAGACCCTTACTGAACCATTTGTATTCAGTGATATTTTTCCAAAGGCAATTCGTGCTGTTCCAGATTTTGGGAAAATAATTGGATGGGCGACTGCAAATTAAAGGATTGTTTTCCTTCTATTTTTGCAGTCGCTATGAATAAGAAGGCCTATGTGAATGAAATGTATCTGACTTCTGGTATGGATGGGGATTGGTGTGCAGGTGGGAAGAAATCTTGAGGACAGGGAGGTGGAAGAGTATTGCAATTTGCTTAAATCACTGCCTGGTCTCAGCTTGGGGAATGGGAAGGATGAAAGAATATGGAAACTGAGCAAAGATGGGATTTTTTCTGTGTCCTCTTACTACAAGCATTTAACTGGTCGAGGGACTGGGGAGGTTGGCTGTTTTCTGCATTAACAAATCTGGAAATTGAATGCTCCACCTAGAGTGACTTTTTTTGCATGGGAGGCTGTCAGGGAGTGTATTTTAACTGTTGATATGCTTAGAAAGAGGGAGAATATTCTGATTAATAGATGCTTCTTGTGCAAAAAAGAGGAGACTTGTAATCATATATTGTTGTGGTGTCCTGCTGCCTATGACATTTGGTGTATGGTTTACAAATTATTGGGTCTAAACTGGGTTGTGGCTGCGAGTGTGAGGGAGGAGTTGTGGGCTTGGGATGGGGTGTGTAAAAAGAACAAATTTTTACGGTTAATTGTACTTTTTATTTTTTGGGTGGTTTGGAAGAAAAGAAACTTTAAAGCTTTTGAGGGTATTGAGAAAGATTTTACTGCTATTAGAGATACTTGGAACCACTCTTTTAGTTCTATGTTTTTGGGTCATGATATTAGAGAGCTCGAGGATTTTAGAGCTGTCTTTGATCTTTGAATTGACTTGTAATTACTTGTATATGGGTGTACCCACTTGGTACTTTGTTAATATATGGCCCTTGGGTTGGTTACTAATTAAGGAACCTACTGTGTGTATAATTAATCCCAAACAGACATATATACCTATTATGCAAAAATACATCCAGTGCAGCTTATTTATCAAACACAAGCATTTGACAGATTACGAGTCCAATAAAAAGACAGGTTTTGTTGAATTGCTGTTCAACAAAAAACATAACCTTCAGCAGTCCACTGTTCATCAATCTTTGACTCATTATATGATGTTCGCATATCCGGTGAGTCTACATCATCCGTCACATGTACATTAAACATAAATAGAAGATACTTTGAAAGCTTAACATGTCACTTTCATGACAGCTTCATTTTACAGAAAAATGGACAATTGTATTGGTAGAAATAGGAACTTAAGAGTTTGTAAATTTACCCGAGGAAACAAGATTTGAATCCCTAAATGACTCTCATAGGATTTTTGTATTTCCACCTCTGGGCTTCCTTGTTCTTTGTTGAAGTTTCTCCTTCTTTGCCTGTCTCTGTTGCTATTCCTCAGTCTCCACTACTCAGCTGGATGCTATCACAGAAAGCTTGTATACAAAACAAAGCAAATGTTTCAAGAACTATCCTCTCATCAACGGCCTCAACAGTGAATTATTGTAGCATGCGAATATGTATCATTTCTTTTGTCAATTTCTCCAACTGATTGCCCCTTGAACCATTCTATCTCCCCTACTTACACATTGTCGCAACAATTTGATGACTCTAGGCGTGACATGGTTTGCAATCAATTGGGGGCATTGTCAACTAATCATTACCATCACTTGATTATTAAACAGCTTTGAGGATGCTGGCACACTCTCTCCCTTCTCTGTGTTCTTTTTCAAAATGAAACCCCGACAAAAGCTCTATTTCTTGATAACAGGAGCTGGAAGAGAACCAAAGTATGGCCCCCAAAACGGTGCCATTTTGGTGTTCGAATAATTGTGCTGCTTCTTTAGGTCTGATCTGAGCAGCCTGCTGGGCTGCTTCTTTAAGTGATCTGAGTCGACTGCTGGGCTCTTGAGGTCAAAGGGCTGAGTCTGCATTCTCATATTTACCAATTTTCCTTTTCCATGACTTGTATTCTAATCCAGAAAAAATGGATAAAAGCAATACATGATTAGAGTGCTCCATAATCATGCAAAAAAATTGAACAGAAAATTTAATGGTAGTTAATGCCAAAAAGATAAAAGAGGAAAACATACTAATATAAAGAGTGCATAAACCAAAATCTTACTTTAGAACTTGACCAACCTATAATCAAAAGGAAACTCTGCACACTGAAAAATGGAAATTAAGAAGTCAAGTAACTTCACATGTCAATAATCAGATTTAAGATTTCTTATAAAGAAAATAAAACCTAACTAAGAGATCATGTTTGGGTACAGTCTTAATAAGTACAGGATTTGTGACATGTTAAGCATGATAGTACTGGCGATATGATATGAATGTAATAGTGACCTAATTTAATGAGTATAATTCATACTAAAAAGGGAGTTAATTTTTGTCTACTCAACTAATAGGAGGTTTACTTTGATCTTCTATTTTATCTTTCTTGTTCAATAAAATGTAGCTTGACAATGTCAATTGGCTTTGTTTACATATAAATTCTAATTCATTTTTCTTGAATGCTAACCTTGTTTTGTGGATTTAATGGGTTAGCAAAAGAATGAGACTAATAGTATGTTGGTGAATTGTGCTTATATAGTTTGCTAACTTGGGTATCTATATCTTAATCCTCTGCAGATTTGTCAAATTTAAAGGGACCTCTATGAATGCCTCGCATTCATTGATGTTGTTGAAGAACGCAACATCTATCTCAAAAGATGCGGCTGAAAACAGTAAAGCCCTGCGCCTTCTCTCTTCTTTGTTCTCGCATTGCCAACAAAATCCTTCAGCAGAACAAAAACCAGACACCATGGCTGAAAAACAAAGAAGCTGTCATTTGGGTCCTAATGAATTCGAATTCCATGTCAAGCGCTTGTGTAGATCAGGTAGGCTCAGCCTTAATACTGGGCAATCTTATTTTGATAAATTGGTCCAAACAAAACCCGTGCCTTTGATTAGCACATTTAATCTGCTACTCAGTTCAGTTTCCAAGCTTAAAGCTTATTCAATTGTGTTATTGATGTATGAGAAGTTGAGTTATGAAGGAATTAAGCCTGATCTCTACACGTTAAACATTTTGCTGGAATGTTCTTGTCATTTGAAGCAAATAAATTATGGGTTTGGCATTTTTGCTGAGATTATGAAAAGGGGTTTTGAGCCAGATATAATTGCAGTTACTACTTTGTTGAAGGCCATGTGTGTGGAGGGTAGGGTTTTTGATGCAGTTCAAATATTTGATAAGATGAGTGAGAATGGGTTTCAAGGGGATGCAGTTTTATATGGGATTCTGATGGGTGGTCTTTGTAAAATTCGAGAGACCCATTTTGCTATGGAGTTGCATAGGAAGATGATGCACAAGGGTTGTGAGGCAAATGTTCTCACGTATAGTATGCTTATTGATTCACTTTGCAAGGATGAGTTGATTGATGAAGCCATGGATATGTTCTTGGAAATGACAAGTAGAGGCATATATCCTGATGTTGTTGTCTATAGTTCATTGATTAATGGACTGCACCGACTGGGTCGGTTGAAGGAAGCTGTTGAACTTTTCAATGAAATGGTTGGAGGAGGGATTTTGCCAGATAAAGTTACATACAATTCTATGATTCATGGATTTTGCCAAGCAGGGATGTGGAAGGAGGTTACAAGGCTGTTCAAGAAAATGATGGGAGAAGGAATTTCCCCTGATGTAGTGACATTCACAATTTTGATAGACGGCCTTTGCAAAGAGGGAAAGATAGCAGAAGCTCGTGAGATGTTTGGGGTGATGGTTCAGCATGGTAAGAAACCTCAACTTTATACATATAATTCGTTTCTGAATGGGTTATGTCAGGCAGGTCTGCTTGATGATGCAACAAAATTTTTTAAATGGATGGGGGATATACATCTTGAGCTAGACGTGGTTAGCTATAACATAATGATTAATGGCTATTGCAAGAGATGGAAGATTGATGATGCTATGCAGGTTTTTCGAGAAATGGCCTGCAAGGGATTGAAGCCCAATATTTTGACTTACAATAGGCTTATAGGTGCCCTTTGCCGGGCTCGGAGAGTGAAAATTGCACAAAAAATGTTTAGTGAAATGTATAGCCATGGTATATCTCCGGAATTGTCTACATATACAATCCTTTTGGATGGACTTTGCAAGAATGGCCAGATTAATGAGGCAATGGATCTGTTTCAAACCCTTGAAAATGCCAATTTCAGTCCAAGTATTGAGGTTTTTAGCATACTTATTGATGGATTGTTTAGAATAGGTAGATTAAAAGAAGCAAGGGAGAAGTTCCATGAAATCTCAATCAAAGGATTGGCCCCTGATGTTGTAACCTATAACATAATGATCAATGGCCTCTGCAAGGAAGGGTTATCATTAGAGGCTGTAGAGATGCTAGATGAAATGGAAGAAAAGGGTTGCTTACCCGACTCTGTTTCATTTAATATAATTATTCAAAGTTTCCTTCAAGCAAATAAGGTCCATGAGGCAACACAGCTTCTGGAGAAAATGCGCAAGAGGAATTTGATACCCAATGAAGCTGTCACTGCCTTGTTATTAGACCTGGTCTTGGTGGATGACAAGTGCCGTGAAGCCATCCAATCACTTCCAAATGTTGTTCAAAAGTGTTAGGTACTTATCTTCATCTATAACATTTCTAGTTCAATTTGTTTTTTCCTTTGTTCTTAGGTTGATTTTTTTCTCTCTATATGCAAATACGAAAGAAGCAATGCTTTACCCCATTTCTAAAACTCTACATTCTTATTTGGGATTGTTTGTCCTCACACTACTTTTTACCTGCCTTGAGGTGGAAGGATAAGACAAAATTCCTGTTTGTCACCCTCATCCTTCCATAGTATGGATTTATCGTGCTAATTATCTGTCATCAAATAAAAACTAAAATGTTTTACAGTCTACTTTATGACATATGAATACGAAAGACTTTAATTATCGTTTTCATTTCCTTTAGGCCTGTGTCCAAATTCTTCTGTACAAATTTCGATCTTTTTTCTTTTGTTATTAGAATAAATTCTTCTATGCATGAGGTTTCTTTCTCAAAAAGCAGGTCCAATTGTGAAGTGGTTTTCCTGTCAGTCTCTATTCTCAAAAGAATCTTCCAAGAGTCACTAAGGCTCTTCATACTCATGAGGTTGACCTCAAAAGTGTCAAAGCAACAACTTTTTCGGCTTATTGGAAGAAATGCGTTGTTGAGCTCCAACCATGGTAATTTGTGAGAATTGATAATGATAAAGAGACAGATGATGTGTTTATTTCAAAAAAAAAAAAGATAAAGAGATAAACGATGTGCAATTTTGGTTATTTTTGGGTTGGATTAGGATTTCAAAGTCAGTGGCTCTGATACCGTGGCTTTGATTAGAGAAAAGAAAGAAGTGATATTGAGGTTGCATGCCAAGATCAATGGCTCTGATACCATTGATATTGTGAAAAAGAAAATAGAGAGATAGAGAAGGTCATTCAACTAACCAATGGTAACAGAGATTCAGATAGAAGAAAAAGGGAGAGAAGTCATTCAAGTAATAAATGGTAACATTTGGTAATAAGAAAGTAATAGAATTGGATGCATAATAAAATTTACTCCTTTACTTGGTGACAAAAAACAGGAACTGAATAGTACAGAAACCCATGAAAAGTTGGAAGAATTTTTCACTGCAAAATAGTGAAACCAAGTTGTTTTTACAAAAAAAAAAAAGGTCTATATTTTTTTGAAATATTTCTCCCTCTCTATTTCCATCTTTCTCTTCAACCTTCTTATTTGACATCAAATTATGATTGTTTTCTTAATTTATATTTAGTATTTATAACAGTTGAAGTTTATCCTCTCTCTCCTCTCCTGTTTATCATTGTCATGGAAGTTTTGAACAGGCTACTAGAACAAGGAACTGACTAGTACAGAAACCCATGAAAAGTTAGAAGAATTTTTCACTGCAAAATAGTGAAACCAAGTTGTTTTTACAAAAAAAAAGAAAGGACTATATTTTTTTGAAATATTTCTCCCTCTCTATTACCATCTTTCTCTTCAACCTTCTTATTTGACATCAAATTATGATGTTTTCTTAATTTATATTCAGTATTTATAACAGTTGAAGTTTATCCTCTCTCTCCTCTCCTGTTTATCATTGTCATGGAAGTTTTGAACAGGCTCCTAGAACAAGGAGCTGAATAGTACAGAAACCATGAAGAGTTAGAAGAATTTTTCACTGCAAAATAGTGAAACCAAGTTGTTTTTACAAAAAAACAAAGAACTATATTTTTTTGAAATATTTCTCCCTCTCTATTGCAATCTTTCTCTTCAACCTTCTTATTTGACATCAAATTATGATTTTTTTTCTTAATTTATATTTAATATTTATAACAGTTGAAGTTTATCCTCTCTCTCCTCTCCTGTTTATCATTGTCATGTGGCTACTAGAACAAGGCAGGGAGAAGAATCTGTTAAGAGGCATTATTACTGGCAACAACAGAAAACAACTTGAAATCTCTCATTTGTTCTTCGCTGATGACATACAGATCTTTTGTCAGCCTGAAATCCCTATGTTGATCTGAGGTGTATTTTATTATGCTTTCAAACAATTTCAGAATTAAAAATAAATATGTATAAATTTGAATTAGTGAGAATTGGCAAGGCCGGTGTTGGGAGTTCTCTTGCTCGGGTTATGAGGTGTAAATCTGCTCAATTACCTATTAAATATCTTGGTCTTCCACTAGGCGCTAAGTACAAGGATGGGAGAAGCTGAGAACCTGCGATTGAGTTGTTTGAGAAAAGATTTGCTGGTTGGAAAAGAAGATTTTTTTTAAAGGAGGTAGATTGACATTGATTAAAAACACTCTTTCTGACCTTCCTGTCTACCATTTGTTGGTGCTTACAATTCCTGCCAAAGTGGCTAAGAAACTGGAAGCCATTCAATACAGGTTTCTTTGGGGCGAGAATAAGGATAAGAGGAGATATCATTTGGTTAAATGGGAGGAGGTGAAGTGTCCTATAGAGCTTGGGGACCTTGGTTTGGGATCATTGCTTGATTTGAACAGAACTTTACTAGGCAAATGGATCTGGAGATATTGGGTTAGGAAAGACAGTCTATGGAAAAAGATCATTAAGGTCAAATGGGGTGGGGGAAGCGGAGTCGATATTTCTGGCAAGACTTTGGAGAATAGGAATCATGGAATGGGTTTTTGGAAGAGCATTATGCAGCAACAGAACAGTGCTCTCGATTTTACAAAGTGGGAGATTGGCAAGGGCAACAAGATCCGTTTCTGGCAAGACAAATTGTGTGGAAATGAAAGTTTAATGTCCAGGTTTCCCCTGATCTTTGTTATTGCACAAAAAAAAGAATATGTTTGTAAACGAGGCATGTGGGGGAGATAATAACAGGGAATGGCTGTTTATGTGTTCAGAAACCTACAGGATTGGCAAGTAAATGAATATGAAGATCTCCTAGAGCTTCTAGCCAATGCCTGCCTCAATAATAATTCAGACAAGCTCATCTGGGACCTAAAGAAAAATGGAAAATTCTCTGTTAGTTCTTTCTATAAGCATTTGGCTGGCTGTAGAGAAAATGGAGCAGTCATTTTTTCAACTAAAATGCTTTAGTCTAAAGCACCACCTCATATTTCTTTTTTTGCATGGGAAGCAGTAAAGGAGCATATTCTGATTATAGACAATTTAATGAAAAGGGGGAAGACTATGGTCAACAGATGCTTCTTGTGTAAAAACGACGCCGAGACCAGCAATCACATGCTGCTTTGGTGTCTGTTTGCTTACAGCCTTTTGAGCTTATTTTATGACCTTATGGGTATCATTTAATCTAATGTTGGTCTGATATGCTCTTTATTGATATGACACTCTTTAATCTGATGTTGAGTATTACCACATCTGAAGCATCCATTTGTCAACTTATAGTAGGGTCTACTACCACAGTTCTTTCTACAATGGGGACATATCTGTTCTGGCCCTTGTGCTGGGACTAATAGATCCATTTTCTGCCTTTTATCAGGTTTTTGTGGCTCGTAAACCTTCTTATTGTTTGGTATGAATAGTCAAACTTGCTGGATCTGTTGTGGGACTGGGCTTGTAGTCACTTCTGTAATCTGAGCTCGTTCCAATGCTTCTTGATAGTTATTAATTTTTAGAATGGAGATTGCTGAAGTGATAAATGTGTACTCATACATAATCGTTTCATGTTTTGGTGTATGAGAAAACAGTCTTATCTACGTACCCTAACCCATTCCGTGTTTAGGGGTAGCAATATTTTAAGATATTCATGTATATCATTCCGTGTTCTGATACATAAGAAACTAGTGATAAGTATTTGTGCATACACATAATGTATGGTAAATGATTGATTATCCATAATAATAACGAAGTATACAGCATGTATCTATTTTCTAATTTGTGTTTTTATCTTCTTATTCGTATTTGTTTTGGAAATACTATATGATATAGATTTTGTTATATGTAAAGAAATTATATATTACATAGATTATACTGTGATTTCATAATATCACTTATTAAAATATTTCATCTCACTCCTTCCCCTCCCCCCAAATCACCTTATAGATATTGAAGATATTGCTGCAGAGCCAGTGATACGGAAAAAGCTTCTGAAACTAAATTTTGATATTAAGGTTACTGTTTTGTACTTTTATTGAGTAATGTAAGTAAAGAAATTTACACATTGTTTTGATAAATTTTAGTAATAGTTAATTAATGTATGAGAATGACAGTGATTAGATGGTAATGACACAGGATGAGAATGATAAAAAAATTTATATTTAGATGATTGTATATTAATGTATGTTAATGACATATTTTTATTTGGATGATAAGATGGTGTGGTTGTATTTTCAGTCAAATTACTAACTTTTCCCTACATATTATATGTAATAATATATGGTATATAAGAAGTATGTAATTAAAATAAATAAATTATTTACCAATATAATTATATTTGTATTTAAATAAATAATTATTACACATAATCAAATTAAATTTTTATATTTAATAAAATAAATAATAATGTGTAAGAATAAAAATAGAATTGGGGAATAAAGAAAAAAAAGTAATATGTCGATCACATACCACCGATTCGTTGGTTTTAAAATCAATTCCAAATCTGTCTGTCATATACCGTTTACTACAATTAAAAATTGAAATAAATATAATTTTCTTATACCTGTAGAGTATCATACTTTAAAATTATATCATTTATCACGATCAAAACAAGGTGTTAGAGTCTTATAAATATGTTTATGTTTTATATTCAAGGGATGTAACGCTTCTGTAAATCTTTTATTATTAATAAAATTAAGTTATTTTACTTAACTTGAGTTTATATGATTTAAGTAAGTAAACAAACTCTGGTCATTACCTTGTAAGACGAGATGTGGTCCATGATAACTAATCTGCACTCAGAGGTGTGAATTGATGTGAGCTTCACAGATTCAGTAAGAATAAAGTACTATTCAAAACATAAATATACAAATACACATTCATACAAGTTTTATAAAAAAAAAAGTATGCACGATGGGGGACTATGTAGTAAAACATTAAAATTGAGAATATCTATGCTTATAAAACTTAATAATCAATGTTAAATTAGAGTAAGGTAGTAAGTATAAAAGAAGAATATACTAGTTATAAGTAACTAAATATTATATTTATGTAAAGAAAATGAAAAAATTTACCAATTTTATTGTAGTTGTATTGTTAGTATTTCTATCCATCTTTACTCAAATGTAGAGTCGAATCATATATCGTGCATGCTCTATATGACTACTATATTATCTCTATTATGTTATGGTTGGTTTACAAACACTGCATAATTAGTAAAATTTATGATTTTTTGCTCAAAAAGTTTGTTGTCTCCAAAAATAAAATGGAAGTCTAAAATAAAACAAGTTCTAACTCTTTATAAAGTATTAAAAAGGTCAATTATTGTTAAATTTTATTCGTTATTAAGAAATTAACTAAGTTAGAATTATTAAATTTTAAGTATGATTATATAATTAACTTTAGAAGTTCTTAACGTTATAAATTAAAAGTTTTGCACTTCCTACGATTTGGTCTCTAATGTTTTATATTTATTTTATATACTAAGTTTCCTCTTATTTTTTAATAAAAAAATTAAAATAATTAAATTATATTTTGATACTTTTAAAAAATAATTCAAAAATTACTTAATTAATTTAATAATATCATTAGATATATATTTTTTATTATTAATTAATGTAATTAATTAGTAAAAATTATTTTTAAGTTATTTTTAAAAATATTTAAATATAATCTAATTCTTTTAGGATTTTTTTATTAAAAACTTTAAAAAATTGAGTGTTTGGAACAAATGAATATAATCAATAAATAAAATTATAAAAAATATTAAAAATTAAATTATAATAAATGTCAAAATTTAGTAAATAATTTAATACTTTTTAACTTAAAATATCAGATTTATTGAATTATTGAATTTTTGGTTATATATTTTAAACTAAACATAGTAATAAAATTATAATACCTTATTTATAATTAGAAACTAAACCCTATAAATTTTGATTCTATTATAAATTTATTTTATTTTTAGTGAATAATTATTGTATTTTACTTGTTTTTCAGTGGGTTAAAATAATTTTCAGAGTCTTTTTAAAACTCCAACGGGCCTTTGGTCCATGAGGTTTAATCCAAGGAAGCACGTAGAGGTACAATCCAGGGAAGCGCTTAACAGAGATATATAAGCGTACACCTTAGGGTTTTGAGACAGGTTTGCTTCCACAGCCGTCCGCACCCTGCCGTAACTGTCTCCGGCTCTTTGCTGCAGCTTCAACAACAACAATGGCTGTCGGGTATTAACTACCGCTATCTTCT